CTGCCACACCATGTGGTCACCTCCGGGTCAGGCGGGAATCGAACTCATGCGGAAGCGGCTTTAGATTCTGTGTTGGGCTTTAACCCGCTGCGCCACCAGGGAGGGCCAGTGTTGACCATCTTTTAAAGGGTAGTGCATACTTGTTTTCTGCTAGCATATGTTAGTTGTGTAAGTTTAAATTTTATTAATACAGAAAAATTTTGCTGAGTGGAGTTCAACTGAAATGTCAAGTATGAGAGCTTAACTTTTGAAGTTTCTGCAAGATATGCTATTACACATAATTCTTAAAGGAAATATATTAACTATTACAGTATCATCAAATATCTGAGACTGCAATATCCTTGAATTTATAGACAGTTTCAAGTTTTGGGCTTAAGACTGTCTAACTTTATAAAAATCGCCAATAAAATCATAAAAACATATGAACAATATTTTTTGCCCTTTCATTTTCCACCACCCTCCTTTATAAATGATAGGATTGGAAACCGACCCATACAGGCAGAGAACTACAGATGGAGCTGTAAAAAAGAAAAACTTTTAAGCACAGGATGTGAAAATCAGATTGTAAAGGGTTGCAGAGTAAATGGAAGATAAAAGTCAGAGATGGAGTTTTCTCACTGTGTTTCTAAGGAGTTAGGTTGTGAAGGAGTGGAAAGAATTAGATGATGGACAAGTTACAATACAGTAATTCATCACCATTTGTCTAACTTCAAGCCTTCTCTTCTCCTTTACTGCTTTCTAAATGTGTATACAACTATATACACAGCCATCCTGGGCAGAGCCTTAGCTTCAGCAGTTTATGAGGATAGGGTGAGTAGGAGGAAATATGGGACATATATGTTCACTCAGTCAAATATTCCACTTTAATACACAAATACCTCTCTGTATGTGAACCACCAAGCCCCCCAACCCACAAACAGAGTCTGGATCTGACTCCCAGCAACCTGAATTCCCCCACTCACCCCATACCTAAAGCTCAGGTATCCATTATGATGCATGGTTAGCAGCTATTTCGAATCACCTCTGTAATATATGAAGGAGCACATCCTGGTGAGCACTTCCAGTGCTCTCCTCTGTGTGGCTATTTTTTTTTTTTTTTGACCTTCATGCTCACTGTCATTAGGTAATTAGGAAATAAAAGATTAAAAGATACAAGCTGAAAATGGCCATGTCAATGAGAGTACGAAGCAACATGTTAAGGAGAGGGAAATGCACTAGAGAAAGACATGGATAGAATAAATGAAAGGATACAGCTAACAGTGAACTCAGAATTCTTAGCATTTGGGGAACTTCTGAGGTCTTAGAGGTAAAAGGAAGAGGAAAAGAGAGGGAAAGAATTGGACAAGACCAGTACTCAGTGAAGCATATTCCAGGGAATATGGAACTAAATGACAGGTCACTGTGACCTCCTCGCCCACCAGAGGATACATATTAAGCTGAAAACTATATCATATCCATTTCTGGTTTTTGAAATAAAAGCAAAGTGACCCTTATATCTGGGGAGGACATAGAAGGAAAACTTGCTTACCAGTTTTATACTATAGCTAACTTCCTTTAATTCCACTTACCCCAAAATCTTGGCCATCAACATTCTCTGCTTCCAATGTTCCTATATTTACTAGTCTTTTCATTTCATAGAAATTAAGCTACACAGAACTGAGAGAAACTGACTGGGAAAGGAGAAAGAAAGCACTGTTGAATTTCCCAAAACCCAGCAGATGGCGCTGCGAGAACACAGCCTACAGACAAGGAACTATGAGCACAAGCTTCGGAGGAGACTATCATCGGTTTAACCTTACATGTTTTACTATCTTTGGATAGTTGCATTTGCTTGTTTTTAGGTCAAACACTCATTTCCTCAAGAACAAATTGTCCCCTAATTCCTGGCTATTCCTACTTAGAAGCAGATTTGAATGTGAATTTTTGTCTTCTCCACACACTCCCTAAGTATCTTGAAACAAGCTACATATTTTTTTCTGAGCTTAGTCATATCATCTGCAAATTGGAGTTAATAATACCTACATCGTACAGTCTGAAGGCTCATAAAACTAAATACATAAGTGGGGACATAATTTCCTTTCTTCTGGCAACACTAAGAAGCACTGAAACACCGACAACGTGATATACACCATGCAACAGGACTCCTTAGGAACCTTGTCATTTTCACTGCCCATACTTGGGAGTGGGGAGTCTTTACACTCACCTGATCATTCTGGTAAGATCAAAAATATGTTTTGAAAATAATTTTTATAAAATATCCAAACTTAATCTCACTAATTCTCAAAAGAGAGAGAAGAGGGGAAATTGCATATTCACAAAATGCCTCTTGTTTTCATGACACAATACAGGAAATAAAGTGCAACAAAACTCAGTGATGATAAAACAGCCCATTTAAAAATGAAGCATGGAGAGAATTAAAATGTTTAATGAACAAATGAAAGTTCCTTTAGTAAAGATTCTCAATAAATCCCTGTCTCCCCAAAGAGTTTGCTGCATTTTCAGACACTGCCGATATTAAAAATTTCTTCTTTATAAAAAAAAATCAACTAACTATAAACCAGAGACATTCTACAGGGGAAGTAAGGGGAATAAGATCAAAATGGGGTAGGAAGAGCATTTGGGACTAGGTAATGGCACATGGGTGAAGTGATGGTTGAAGTCCATGGGATTATAACTAAGATGAAAAAATGTACAAAATGAAGAGTACTTTAAAAAATGTATTTATAAAGTTAAAAAAATAAACTATCATAAATATATTTTTTTAATTTCTTCTTTATACCAAGTAAAAAATTACCTCCATTCTATGAGCAGCACAAGGTCCCTGGTTCTAGTCCCTTCCTCTATCACCTCACACATTCACAAACACACAACACACATTTTCCTTATAAGAATTAGGGTTTCTGATGTTCCACACATTCCAGCCCTTCTCTTCCCTCTGAGACTCTTCTCCTGGTGATTCTTCCTGACAAGCAGATACAGAAGAGAACTGGGGGTGACAACCACAGCCCAGACCTAGAGCTGAGCATCGCCAATGTCTGTGTGACCCTCACAATGTGAATGTGTTCTACATTTTTAAATGTTTCTACATGTTTGGGGGGCAGGGGGATGTAACAATGGCAATTATAAAATTTATGTATAAATAAGCTTTATTTAAGCACAGTCATGCTCATTTGGTTACATGCCATCTATGGATGTCTTCATGCTACAAAAGAAGAGCTGAGTAAGTGCAACAAACCTACCTGGTCCAAAATTCCGTAATATTTACTCTCTGGCCCTTTACAGAGAACGTCTGCAGACCCCCCAGAGAACCACCTACACGTGTTTTTATCTGAGATAGCCTTTACCTTCAATCCCCTCTTCCCTCTGTGCCTCTACAGGAAATTATCTTCACTCAGCAAATTCCACCTCCCCTACATCCCACAATCTCAGTCACACCTTGAAAGAGCTCATTCCTATAATGAAGTATAACAACCTGGCCTAAGTCAGGCATCCAGAGAAAATACAGTCAGAGAATGGATACGACTCTACAAAAATTCTTAGAATAAAACATACAACCAGATCATGGCTTATTTGGAAGCGCGTGATCTATCATTTGCCAATGGCTGCTACCACTCCTTCTCAAATCATGACCATCACATTGCACAAATTTGAATTCTAGGTAACATTACTCAGCTTCAGTGAAATTTCTGCAATACCTTACAGCAGACAGAGAGCAAGTCAAGGTCCTTAGAGATAAACAGAAAATCACTCCCTGACTCTTTGATTCAGATTCTATTCTGGTGAACTCACCACCTCTGAGGTTCAGCTGTCCAGAGAGAGGGCAGACCCTACTCCTAGGAAAAGTGGAAGTAGATGAACACAGAACAATATTGTCATGACACTCACTGAATTTTCCATTCAGTGAAATATTTACTGGGGACCTTTATGTGCCAAGCAACATATTGAACGTCCAGTGATACAGCGACCAATAAAACCTATTCACATGCTCAAGGAGTTCAGTCTAGTTGTGACATAGGCATCCAGACAAATACATACATGCATGTGTGTATATATTAAAGTATATACTCAAGATATTTAACAGCCACTTTTAGGGTAATAGGATTATTATTATTATTATATTTTCTTTTTATTTGCTTTGTTTATTTTTTCCATTTTATGTAAAACATTAATGACAAAGAAAGACAATTTAAAAAGATTATGATAGTGTGATTGAAATCACAATAAGTAATGTAAAAAATATTTCCTACAGATTGTCTAAGGTAGGTTTGAAAATGATTTGGAGTTTACCAGGCAATAATGAGTATACACATACAAAGTAAAGTAATGAGGTAATATTGCATATTCAGGAAAGTGAAAGAGTTAAATACTGATAGAGCATAAAAAACAACAGGAAGAGAGCAGAAGGAGTTTGAGAGAACCCAGATAATAAAGAATCCTGGATGCCCTGCTAAATAGCCTCTCTTTCTTCCTAACGTTCCATGGAGCTTGAAATTAAAGCTAGGTTAGCCACTATTTTCCGGCAAACACTTAGGTAAAGAAACACAGGATCTCTGCAGCCATTATTCATTCTTAGGGGTAATTAAATCATGGCAGACAACTTAGCTGGAATCATGTAGATCAAAACTCAGCTTAATGGAAATTTAACAAATGATCTTATAAACATCAGTCCCCAGTGTCCCTGCACTACTCCATTCAACTTCAGTTAAAGGTCAAATCATTTGTCATCAATCAATTATGCCACTTTGTTGCATATGGAAAAAGGTCCTTCAATAGGATCCAGAAAAGCTGGCAGGTTGGGCAGGTATTAGCCCAGATTTAGGAATTGCTAATGCAATCTCAATGATCATTTAAGGAAGGCAAATACCTAACTGGTGAAGATGGAGGTGGAGCTGGACTTGTTTGGGAGTGAATTAGGACATCTGAAAGAGCAGCTCCTCCCTAAGATGGCCCATTATCCCCTCTATAAAAGGGCCACATCCCCATCAAGCAGCACCCTGGAAGCTGCTTCAGTCTACATCCTGCATATTCCTCTGGCCAACTAGGTAAGTGAGCAGAAGTTTAGGCTTATGAATTATGAGGCAAAGAGGCAGTGAACACCAGGCTTCTTAATAGAATGTAGGAAATTTGGATGTTTTACTTTACTGAGAAAGAAGAAGATGACTGTGACAGTAAATACTTTATTTGGAGCATTGTTTTAAACTTTCCCCATCATATCTGGTATCCTCTTATCCTTTTCTCTTCCCATGCCTCTTAACCTCAAAGCCCTAGGCTATATATTTATATTAATGGACAACAATTTTTAAGTGTTTTTACATTATCAAATTGTCTACCATGCAAATGTCCAGTATTTGTTTTTATAGTTCTGACTTTCTTTGCTGTACATGATTCTCTAATACCTGATTTTGTTGAAAAGTGCTGCATGTCAGCTTTCCTTATGGCTAGGTAATCCTCCATGTTTAGATATATCCATCTTCTTGATCCAGTCATGCCTACATAGAATTAGATGACTCCAATGTCTTAAGTATTGAAAATAATGCTGCGATGAACACTGTGAAGCATATGGAGAGCTCTGCTGATAGTTTCATATTCCATGAATAAATGCCCAATAGTGGAAGTCTGGGCCATTCTTAGATTTTAAGCTAAATCCAGGTAGCCATCCATAATGTTTTTACCAATTCACATTCCCACCAACAGTACACAAGAGTTGTTTTTTTCTCCACATAAAGTCTAGCACTTGTTGTTGGGGTCTGTTAAATATGTTCCATTCTCATGGGGGTGGCATGGTTTCTCATTATAGTTTTAACCTGAATACTTCTTCTTAGAAGTGATGATGAACCTTTCTTCATGTTTCTTTTATCCTTCTGGATATACTCTTCAGTAAAAAGGCCATTCATAAATGCAGTCCACTTCTAGATAAATGTATATTTTCATTGTTGAATTGCATGTTTCTGATAGATCTTGGGTGGTACTCACTTATCACTAATACATCTGTGAATAGTTTCTCCATTCAATAAGGGCCCTTTAGTTATAATGTATTATCTTTCCCTAGAGAGAAGTTTTTAAACTAGAGGCAAGCCCAGTTGTTTCTTCTGTTTTTAAATCCTAGCCATAGCAGTTGAGTCACCAAAAATATCATCATTGCTGATATCATGGAACATATCATTAATGATTATTTCTTGTTGTGCAAGTCTTTTATCTTTAACCTATTTGGAGTTTATTTTTGTGTGTGGTGTAATGAGTAACCCAACTTCATACTTCTATGTGTGGCTTTCAATTATCCCATCATCATTTCTTAAAGATACTAACATTTAGGGATCATTTTCTTAAAAATTCCAGGGCTATACCCACCAGACTTGCTGCCCTTTTCACTCTTGTTTTTTTCTCTCTGTTGTGTAGTAAAGCCTACATAACAGAAAAGCCTAAGGGTCAGTTCCCCCCTGGTGAATGAAAACAGAAGCTACTCCAAGTTCCATATCACAAAAGCATGTGGCTGTCTTTCCCTAGTGAGTTTCTTTTGCTGACCCAGAAGTCTTAAGGGTTCAGCTTAGCCTCACAGTTGGAGTCCAGCACACCATGTAGATTATGGACCTGTCCCTCTAGAAGGTGATAATTGGGACGCAAGGAGGAATTGAAGAAGTGGATAAATTAGTAAGCCCACAATTTCTAAACCTCCAGAACAAAAAATTCACAAAGTACCCCTGGTAGAAGTGGGGAGTCCAAAGCAGACAGTCAGACCACCACATGCATTCATGAGTGGAAATAAACAATGGAGATCCTGTTCCTAATTTCATCACTTTCTTGCCACATGGCTTGAACAAGTCACTCAACTCTGAAATGATTCTTGATTACAACAGGATAGAATTAATCATGCCTAATTGAGCCTAAACAATTATTACAAATGATCAGAGCTATTTATATACTTTTAAAAAAATTACAATAGATGAATATCTACACTCTTTTATCCACAGATCAATTAAATTTACAAAAAGATGCCTAAACTCCTACAAAGTATGGTCACTGTCATTGACCTCTTCTATGAATATGCCAGCCAAGATGAGGAGTGTGACATGTTAAAGAAGGAAGAAATGAAAGCACTTTTGGAAAATGAGTTTCATCAAATTTTGAAGGTAATAACTCTATGTCAGGACTGAAAACAGGTCCAAATTTCTGCTCTTCACCTCCAACATTCTGGTCACGTAATAAACTCCTAGAGAACTTTCTACTTGTTGATCAGGAACAGAGTTTGGTACAGCATGAAATAAGGTCAAACAAACATTGATATGTAAGGTTCTTATAACATGATGAGGAAAACAATTTTTGTAGACACCAGCTGAGATTCATAATTTGAGTAATACCCATCTATGTCAGTGATTCCTACAGAATTGACACTGAGATGGCCCCAAATACCTGAAAACAAAATTCATCACATTCTCTTCTTTTGTATTTCTGTAACACAGAACATCCTAACCACTGCCCATCTGACTTTCTGTTACTAAAGATGCTAATAGGAAATTAGCATTTTACTTCTAAATTACAGACTAACATCTTAAAAATGTCAGTTCAAAGAATAATAATATGGGGACTTAGTTATAGATTACTAACTTCCATTTTGTAAATACAGCTGCCTGATGAATACATTTTTAGATTTTTTTATGGGTATCTTAAATTTTGTGTGTCAGATACTAGAATCATGATCTTCATGCTTCTCTGAACTCCTTACTCCTACGTGCCATTCTAACTTCCTATCTCAGAAATCACCTTCAACTTCCATTTAACTCATGAAGTAATCTCAAAACACACCAATTTCACTCCATCAGTAATGCTAGTCCTCTGCTTCAAGCGAATCTCAGCTTCCAATCTCAGCAATGGATACAAATACAGTCATTTCACAACCATTTCAAACTCTTTCCACAGCTCCCACCTCTTTCAAGAAAAGGTTTAAAGTTTCTTTATAAGACTTAAAAGGCATGATCTGCCCCTATTTATATCTTCTGAGACTGAATGTAGCAATCCTGAATTTCTTTCACTTCTTGTATCAGGTTTTTCTTACTTCCAGTCTTTGTCCATATTCTCCCCTCTGCCCAGGCAATTTTTTGAATCCCTGTCCTCCTTTCCTTTATTCTCCCATTTTATAACTCCAACTCATCCTTCAAAAGATATCATTTCTCTCATAAACCTTCCATGAATTCCAGTAATTCTCCTCTGTGTTCTCACAAAACAATTAAAGATCTTGTAGCTAAGATTATGTGTTGGTCCTTTAGGCTTTAAATTTGTCAGAAATCAAACATTTCACTGCTTTATCCTCTATATATAACTCAGGATTAGGAAGTTAGAAGTCCATAATAAACCATTATTGAGTAACGTAGTTACTTCAACTAGTCAGATGAAGGTTATAAGTAATTCACCCTGATATCAAAAATTTTTATTTACAAATTATATAATGATTCAAATTTGACCCAGTCCTTACAAGTAATTCTCTTTTTTCCTGTCATCTTCCAGTTACAACTTTTAGCCATTTCTCACTGCATCATTCATTGAATATTCCTTTCTCTCAATCTGGACAAGATAGGTAAAGCCAACCTAAAGGTCTATGTGGTTGAGCTCTACCTAATGAGGAAAGCACTCACATTTTTACAGCCTTCTTTCAAATGGTTAGTTAAATGAAGTCTGTACTGACAGAAACTGCCTTTTGTATCTCGTTCCTGTTCAGAATCCAGATGATCCAGACACTGTAGACATCATCATGCAGAGCCTGGATCAAGACCATAACAAAAAGGTGGATTTTACTGAATATCTTCTGATGATATTCAAGCTGGCACAAGCTTGTAATAAAATGATCAGCAAAGATTACTGCCAAGCTTCAGGGTCAAAGCAGAGAGACCACAGTCACTGGCACCATGAGGAACAGAGTGAAACAGAAGATGAGGACAAAAGAAAAGGAAGGTCTTCCAGTCCTTCAAGCTGTAATACAGGAGAGAATGATTCCTATTCCAGGGGCCCCAGAGGGATCACTAAACACAGACTTGGATCCAACTCTGGGAGAAAGCAGCCGCAAAGAGACCGTTCCAGTTCTGGACACAGGCAAAGCTCTGAGGAAAGGAAAGACTCAAGCTCAGGACAATTCCAGGACAGAAAGAAAAAGAAGCACAGTTTTCATGACGGGTCTGGGAGTGAAGAAGGTAGTTATTCTCATTCAAGCAACTGCAGAAAAAGATCAAACTCAGCAAATCAGACAGACAGTAGTGGAGAAGAAAGGAGTGGATACTCTTCAGAGGATCAGTCTTATAGTTCTGACCAACACTGTTCTGATTCAAATGAATCCTCACAGAATAGACAACATAAGAAGAAATCAGGGCAATCCCCTCATAGGCAGCATCATGAATTCAGCTCAGGGAACAGTGGAAGACAAGACCACTGGTCAAGTTCAAATGAAACTAGTGGTTGTAGTCATGGGTCTGGTTTGGGTCTGTCCTTTAGTTCTCTTCAACATTTATCCAGCTCTGGTCTATCTTCTGGCAATGGTCAACATGAGTCAAGTCAGTCTTTGAGTCATAGGAGACAAAGGTCTAGTTCAGGTCAGTCTTCTAGCTGTGGCCAACATGGCTCTGGATCAGGTCCATCCTCCACCTATGGACAACATGGTTCTGGA